TTCTATCATGGGCTAAAAATGCAGCTCAGAGGAGGTGCAGGAGACCGGTTTCCTTGGAAACCACTTGAATTAGCACCTTGAGTCAACTGGTGTAAATAAAACTGATCTGAACGTAATTACAACACACTGAAATGTTTTAACAGATTTTTTTGTCTAATCTCAAACCAAACCTTTTGTTCACTCCAAATTATGACAATTTTCTTAATATAGCACCCATCAGTACACTCAAACTCACAAGATAAAAACCTAAAATTTTACAATGAAACACAAAAGACAAGTTAACAAACATACACACATACATGAATGCACGCACACACACTTAGATTTTGAGTGTAAATTAAATGAAATTGAACAAAAATGCATGTTGATCAGGAGGACAGCATATTTTATTGATTATTCTAGGTATGATGATCGGTGTTGGGACAAACAGTCTTCTGTGGTTTTGAACAAAGTAAAAGTTAAAACTGAAGAGGCTCTGTGTTTATTGTCTCATTTAGAGGCGTGTTGAGAAATGATGTCAGACTGAGAGGACAATGAAGGTGAAGTCACTGAAGTTTCATCATAAACTTCCTCACAGCAGCACATCCTGCCTTGACCTTTGACTTTGGCTGTTTGCACGACTCAGGAGAGTCCTTATTGTTTGAGTGTGTGAGGAAAGAAAAACAGCTTCAGAAATATTCACTTTTCTGTTTGCCATATGTTTCTTTTTCTGCAATAAACATTTTTGGCACAGAATTACACAAACCTACAAAAATGAAAAAAGAAGGAAAAACAAAACTCAGGTGATCCAGGTGAGGGTGTCTGGGTAGAGCAGTTCAGTTCAGTTGTACATGGTCATGTGGAGCCACTGGAACCAATCAGAGGGCAGAAGAAGTTATATATCATTATTGACATTAAAGCTGCTATCATACTAACTGTGCGCTCTCTACTGTGTCCATTGCAAGAAGCACAAACCCAAACCTGTGCGTGACTCCACAGCAGCTCTGTGTGCACTGTTTATGAGACCACGTACATTTCTGAGATACTTCAGTCTGCCTTCAGCCCATTTAAGTTCAGCAAGCATCCTTTCACTTTCACTTTATTCACAGTTTTTGGTCAGGTTTGCATTTCTGATTTGGACGGACATGCTTGCTGACTCTCACACATTCCCAGAGCTGAACATTTACGGCTGTACGTTTAAAACTTGATGAAGTGTTCTTTGGATCAAATGCTGCACATTTCTGTAGACTTGCAACATGGTTTCCTTCTGATCACCCCTGCTTACAGAAACTGGCTCACAATTACTCGGGATGTCACTGCTCGACTGCTAGCTAAAGCTCCCTGCAGGTTCTCTGCAGTTATGTGGGTGTTTATCTTTGCCTTCCTGCCCAGGAGACGTTCACTTTCATCTTGAAGTTTTTTTGCACTTCCAGATCTTCCACAATTCCCTTTAACTGTTACTTTTCATGACATTTCATACAGTGAAAACTGCAAAGCTGAAAGCAGTTTCACACGTACTCGTAGCCTTAATATGCATTGGTTACCTAAAGAAGCCTGAGGTTATGTTGTAATGCTATTTGAATTTGTTAGACTTTACCAGATGACATTTCATGAGAACAACCTCTCACCCACTGTACAGGTCCTAACAAGTGAGTTTCAGCCTCACAAACCGCTGCGCGCCCCGCGATTCCTGTTTCATTTTGTTCTGTTTTTACAACCGTGGGACATGAAGTGACAGGACTCTCACATTTAAAGGATCGCTAAGTTCACTCTTCAGCTCTAACGTTACACTATATTCATACCTGTCTGTAGCTGATGGTTACTGCTCCCGTTCCCATCACGTCGTATGCCTGAAATTTGTCTGCAAGAGGACGAAAAGGCGATATTGAGACACAGCTGATGTTTGTCGAGTTGGCTTATAGAGGTTTTCCAAACATTCCTGTCATGTGATGTTTTAACTTTAACTTTTAGTTCAAATTAAAACATCACATGACTGATTCTGGTGTATAATGACACAACAAACAGGGTTATTATGGG